TGAAACAATTTATGAAAGCATTACGTTTTTTAGGAAATTGGGAAATCTTGTTTGTGCTTCCGATCCGGATTAGTACAAAAATCTCTACATCAACTCGAAGCTAGAGACAAGGAGAGCTCGGATTAGGTCATACGATATAATATAGAGAGATCAGGATGAATGAGACTGGTTTCTAAAAACGTTGAATGTTTCTTACCATACTTAGCGCATAAGAAGTGCTCTTTTGCCATAAGCAGTCCTCAATCGACAATAAACAGCAACGGACAACGTAATTCACCTAATCTGACAATCCAAAATGACGCAGTCACTCATTGTCTCAAGGGTACAAGGGTGATGTGTTTCCGATTGCGTCACAACCCAAGTAACAGTTACTACGATTAGTGAGATTGAATGATCACTGGAACCTTGAATTACACAATGTTCTTAATCGTGTACGCGATAAGCTTAAAATGAAAGTTCTCACTTTGACATTTAACCATTTGCAATGATTTATCCATATGAGCTCCCATCACGTCGCTTTTGCTCGGTTCTTTTCTAATCTATACTGTCTATGGTTTCTTTCCCAAAAGGTCAGTTAATAATCGTTCTAGAAAAAAGTAAATTAAACAAGAAAAGATTTGCGCCGTGTCAACTGTGGCATAACTTTCTCCTTGCGACTTGGACGGTGCGTTCATTTTCTGTCTCAGGATCCTAAATCAGCAACACTATTAGCATTACTGTTCATCATTATATAAACAAAACCAAGATCTAAATTCCCCCGCAGATCCATGTTGTTACTGATTCCATCATTTATCCAACCGCTGTACTTTTCTTTCGAGACACTTGCTGTGCAACATCCCGAGTCAGGAGGCGGGGGTAAGATTTATTATGTTAGTCCTCATTAACCAGGAATGATTGTTGTTTGACTTGACATTTTTAAAGTCTACCCACTGACAGGATCAACCCTGCGATCTCTTCACTTGTTTGTCCGCTCATGTGCGGTTCGCGGTTCGCACGAATAAACCGTGGTACAGTTTGAAAAGAACAACACCTGAATGATCCTAATATCGGTGTCTCATTTCGATCGCTATCCATCTATGAATCGATAGCTATGTAACGCGTGAAGGCCTCAACGCCTAATTAGGAGAACTTAATGGTTAATAAATCAGAACGATTTTGTTCAGTCAACAATATGTATACCAATCAAACTTGTGAAATTTGCGCAAATAGAAAATCCATGCAATTACCGAGTTACAACGAGAGAAAAAACGAGCCTAAGTAAATGCCAGTTGGAACACATCATTTTCGCGCACATAAAACATACGCAACGTAACTTTTCTTTTGATGTTCTAATAGTTCGGAACTCCATGACCGAATGCATGTGCATGAGAAGCCTTATTGTGTTTGATTTAAAATAGTTTTCCTTGATGAGGAGTGCAAAAGGCGCAGTTTGATAGTATCTAAAAAGTACGAAATTCTATTTCAGTTTCCACCGGTAACACGTAATTTAATCTCTTTTTGATCCATTTATTTTCTCTCCATTGTGGACTTCGCTATTCCACCTACAAACCAGCCAGTGTCAGCGTAAAACGTCAAAAAATGTTATGTAAAATTGCGGCACTTCATTAGGCAGGTACACTTGGATGTAGCTGCAACAAAACGGAAAGATGTTTTAGGCAGCCGAAATCAAATCAATGTATTTTACTAAATAGAAACAAACAATGCATGTCTAATAAAATAAGCAAATACAATTTGTTTCTATTTAGTCGAACTTCGCTAGCATTCGAGACCTGATTATCCTCATCATAACCGTCATGATCGTGATCAACTTCGTCTTCCGTTCGTGTGGGGATGAACATGCTTTGCAATCCAGCTATATTGTGGGCATAAATAATATCGAGGTGAATTCCACTGTGTTAAATGAACACGGAATTCCCATAGGCAAACAGCGTTAGTGAATGAGTAAACCATGGAACTTGCTTTTTTGTTTATTTAAATTCAGGTTCTGTCCGTACTCGATTTGAGAGAAAGATGGGTTCTAAATTTGATCCACAAAAATGCGTCTTAAAATAACTTTTAATTAATTACTGTCATTATTCGTCTACTGGACAATTAATTCGTGGTAAGGAATTCCAGTCCTCTCTGAGCTAGTAGGCATGCAGCACCCGTCCTTCATCATTTATCTATTCAGACTTAAATTACGGTATGCCACCACGCTGAGTAAAAAGTTATTTTTGAGTCAATGTTGTTCCTCGGAGATAAAATCATGATAATCCCAATCGCTGAAATCACCAAAGTTAAATCAATTCACCATGGTAGCTTCTCATTGATGCAAATTGTTATACAACCACCATGTCCCATTTTGATATCGAAAGTGCAGTATAATGTACATTTCAAGCTCTACCTACTTTATCAATTTTTCGAGCATATCCCGCATTGCTTTATAACCCGGAAATAGCCGACGGCTTCCTGCTGAACTCACGTTTGCGGCCTTCTAGGACCTTCCAACAAAAGTATACAAAGGACAAGGCAGGGTTCTATATAATAATTAATCGTTATTTCATATTTGTGGTAGTGTTTGAAAAGATGCACTTTCTCATCTCTGAACGGTAGTTGCTGACCCCATATTTTGAACATGTTATAGTCATACTGTATCGAATACTGTGTCAAATTACCACCACGACAAAAGAGGGTTTTCTTGGTACTTCAAGAGCTCACAATAATAATGTCATATCCATAAAAAGATATTCTGATTAGCCGGGATGACAAACAAATAAAATGGTAAAAAATGGTACTTAGACCTGTTTTGTCGTGAGTAGTCCGGACATGCATACACGTACTCAGAGAGACGAGTAGCTCGAAAAACGAGGGCGTTCAAGTGCATTCATTTCTCTAAAAACTCATTTTACATGGGATTCGACAGGCATGAATGAACAGTTTACCTTCAAACACAAAATGTCCGTTGATTATTTTTTTAGATTCAAATTCGATCCTACGGCTCGCTGAATCACTTAACGACAACACAGTCCACGATGAAGACAACTAGAACAACCAAAACCATTCCAGCTACCAGGAAATCAAGGTTGAGAAGCCAAGCCAAAACGTTTTCTATCTATTCGCTTACCGTTCCACCAAATGCCACTCGAATTTTGTTATATTCAAACCCGAACCGAACAGAGGATACCTCACTCGAACACATCTTTGGAAGACCCCTTACAGTCTCGGAAAACTCGGATTCCGCATTCTTCTGTTCTCAGAGTCTTGAACCCTATTCCCGTTACACAGTACACATACGTGCACTGCTACAAGGTGATATGATCCGGTCCCTTTGGAGCCACGCTCCAAGTAGCGAGTTTGTACTGCTTTCAGAAAGAAATCCAGTACGTTTTGGAACTTGTGACAAAGATTACCTGTGTTCTGCCCAACTTCCACCGACGAAACCTCAGGATCTACAGTTCCGATGGCAATCCAGACAGACAGCACAGATTAGCTGGTCACCACCGAAACGTTTAAACGGCAAACTGCATGGATATCGCGTGGCAATAGCGAGAATTCAATCCTCCAGTCGGGTAGTCCTAAGTAAGTGGCTTTTTCGCCTGCCAATGCCTGTTAATGTATGCATGCACATGCCCACGACAGCTTAGTTTGCTCCTCGAAGCTTCGGTCCTAATCGTCTGAGGTTGATTTAAATTTGGTGTGACGTTTATTTGACTCATCCACACATTCGTGGAAGACGATGAGCAGCACTCGTTTTAAGCCGGAGTGTGGTGTGATGTTGACATGGGCCCGTCACGCGAATATGCACCACATCTCACATATACGTTGCTCACTGTCCGTTGATTTTCAGATTATTAGCATCACGGTGTGGAGGAGTAGACCAGAATGAAAGGAGATTGAATAGAACGGATAGCAGAAAGATTCGCAACCACAATTGTGCCTGACTGTTCCGAAAATTGCAGTAAAACATTCATTTGGCTCAAACAGACAATCGAATTTTGGTATTTATTTGGGCTTGGGGACAAAGCTTTTCATGTGAAACAACCTGATCAATTAGATGGTCACATTGAAGGCAATAAAAATAATAAAACCTGTGTATTACGCGATGTTACTCTTCATTGTCCATCCTAGACGAAAGCCTTTTATTGCAGTACATTTTCCTGGTGTGTTTTTGTGGAAGAATGTGGGATGAGCTAGAGTGCAACAAATGAAAACAGATGCATTACAAATCGGATCTTCTATTAAAGTGTGTGACTAATCTGCATCTTACTTCATAGTTCAATATCATTTGTACACTCTAGATTGATACCATTCTCCTCATATGCCAACGAAACTGCCTTCAGGATCAAATGCGATAGGATGTTGGAAGGAAAATCATAAAAGTGGGCAACCCTGACGAACGTCAGTTTCTCTGGTGAACTTGAGCATAAAGGATCCGTCAGCCGTAACATAGTGCCGGCTATTATAATTATAAATAAATCGTAATAATGAAATATGCTTCCACAGCACATCCTTCAAGAAAAGGCTTTGCAGAAGAGGAAACTCTAATATTTGAGTCTACGGAAGGAATGTTTGTATTCCGGAATTGGGCGATCAGTGAAAATATGCTCAGCGCAACATCAAGCAGGTCGAAAAACAGCAACCACCGTTCACGTGCAACAAACAATGTACGGAGTATAAGGCCAGCGAGAGTCTTAGAGGCAATGTTGATCTTACTAATATCCCAGTGGTTTTCGCAAGAGGCCCGTCGCATTTTTGTTACCTGGTAAGGTAACCGATTCACACTGTTCTGCTGGAATGCTCCACTCGGTCCTACCGCACCCTGTAGTTTCGTCAACTTCAAGACCGAGGTTGAACCTTCATCCTCAAAAATCGAAGAGGACAACCCAACCGGGGAAGAGACCGAATACATTGAGGTAAGTTATTTCCTGAGTAACCTCCATCTCAGAAGTACTGCTGGTATCAACTGACAGTAGCTATTCAGTTGGAACAGGGGCTGGTGGATCTATTGTCGATGGAAGTTGGTTGAACTGTGCCTTAAGGTGTTCAGCCCATCGCTCAAGACCGCGTTGCTGAATATGACTCCGTGTGCCGCCGCGCTCGTGAGTACTTCACATACGTCTACTTACTTTCCTTAAATCCGTACTCCACATTAGCTGGAAAGAACTGCGACTGTGGCCTAAAACCACAGCCTTCTCCACATCTACATTTTACTAACCACCACTCATCCAGTTCGTTCATCAGGTCGTTGATGAGCTAGTGTTTATGTGGTTTACTAGCAGGGTCATATTTAGCATCCATAGGGGTTGCTCTGTGAGGGTTCACGACGGCGGCAGTAGTTGAGGAAATCTAGCTTTCGCCTTTAACCGTGTGCCGAATCCATCGATTTTTACCGGCCTAAAAATACCTTTGTTTATAAGCGTCCGATGTCTATTGACTTCTTCGGCGCGTGGAAATAACTCTAAGAAAGCTTTACATCGAAGGCCAATTTGAAATTGCAGCTTACATTTTACCGTGAACATCCGCTTCCGGAGTCTTTTGCGTTTGATTATCGTACACAGACGGAATCTGGCTCTTGTCGGAGAATGGTCCGTTTCCACGGGCACTGGCATGTAAGATGGACAATCTTGGATGCATTTTCATCAGTGATACGTAATGGCAATATAAACAATTTGAGAGCACCGCTGAGAAGAAATGCATAGTTCCGTTGCAAGGTGATGTATTATCTGTTGAGAATAGTTGGTGCTTGGTATGAGCAATGCATGTACTGTTCAAAGTTGCGTTTGGCAATCTCCGTTCTATGACCGACTGGATGGGTCGCCCAGGTACGTTGAAAATTAGTTCTAGGATCACAAGTGAGCATTGAAGTCGACGACAACTCATAAGCTGCCTGTTGAGCAAACGCTCTGTAGCAGTCAACAAAGGTCATCGTTTGAGACATCCTGTAATCCGTAGATGCATACAGTCACGACGCTTAAGCACCGGTGCTTCACTCCATTGCTGTTAACATGCATGGAACCATTAAGGTATAAAGTGCGCATTCGGCTACTGACTGTTATTCAGTCAATAAGTTAGCGTTGAACTTATCACTATCTCAAAACCGGCAAGACCGCTGAAAGTCGGATACCGAATGGTCTAAATCACAGAGAGATAGAGAGAGTGAAAAGTTGACAAAATGTTGAAA